GCTCCTATGATGCTGCTTGGCCTGCTGTGTTCATCCAGCCCTGCACCTTGTTGTCTCGGATTCTCCAGCATCTGCAGTTCCTACTATCTCTGAGTCAATTTCATTCGCTCGCTTTATCCCCAAAGTACTCTACATCAATTTTTTCCAAGTGCCCGTTCAATTTGAAACCATTTATCATTCCTGTTTCTGTATTTATTTTAAACAGGCAGACTGCCTAACACCACCCTTTAACTCAGTAGGAGACTGTACATAACATAACATTCCAATGACTATTCAGGATACCATTCATCCTTACAATCCTGCTACATTGTTTACAGAACTTTAAATTTGTGCACCATAAGCTAGTGGGAGCAGTTTTGCTGTCCTCTACCCAGTTTCTAAACCTTTCAATCATCCATTTTTTATCAAATGAGCCCTCCTGAGACCTCCACTATTAACTTACCGATTGGAGAATTCATTCCCAATGGGTTATCCTACCCATTTCACATACCCATCTATTAATGTTCATTCAGAGAAACCATCAGATCATAAATCAACAAACAGAATGAACTGGCCCAGATGTCAGGAGCTCCTTAGCCCCTCACTGTGATTTCAGGATCTGTAAAAATTATTCTTTAACTTCTGTAGATTTGCTGACCTCCATTTGTACACACACACACCAACAGATTAAAGAACAGCTTCTTCCCCACTGTTATTAGACTGCTGAATGGACCTCTCTAATTTCAAATCTACTGTTGATCTTGCTAATGTTGATCTTGCTTTGTGCACCTCCTGTGCAGCTATAACCTTGTATGCCTCGCTCTGTCTGAGCACCCTATGATCTGTATGTCTTTGTTTGCTATGATCTGCCTGTATTGTTCACAAAACAAAACTTTCACTGTACTTAGTGACATATGACAACAATAAATCAAACCAAATCAAAGTCAGCAAAGGGGACTTTATCATTCATTCAACAGCCTGCTCTCCCAGGGATTGTTCATCAAAATTAATACCTTGCTGTGGTGGAGCTGCTTTTTATTTGTATGACATGGGAGCACAGTGTCCTAATTATGGAAAGCAGTCTCAGGGATCTTTAATGTGTCCTGCTGGCAACGAGCAAGAGGAGAAACAGTTTATCCCTACTGTTTCGAAATGGTCTGTGAGCCACACTCAACAGTGTGAAAACTTGGATTGTACCTGGTGACAGTATTTTCAGCCCAAAACAATAGGATGAAGCACTGGCGCTGACTGTCTGTTACTGAATGGGATATGATTGAGGTAATGACGGAGTGTCTCATAACAAGGTTCTGATTCAGGTTGACAAATTCAGTACAATACTGAGGGTGTGCTGTGCTGCTGGTGAGAGGTTAAAACAAGATTTTCATTCACTTGCAGATGCTAAACATAAAAATAAATTGGATTGGCTCTTAAGTGAAAGGATCTTCAACTGACAGCCTCCCAGATCACCCAGAGGGTGTGTGATCCCTCACACCCGGTTTCTATCTCCTTCCCAAAATCAACAAACACGACTGCCCATTGTATCTGCTTCCTCTTGCCCCACAGAAGTCATCTCTTCCTACTTTGACTTGTTTTTTTTTTCTCCCCTTGTCCAGTCCCTTCCCCTTACATCCTCAATTCTTCTGACACTTTACGTCAGTTTCAGAATTTCCAGTTCACAGACTCCAGTCACCTCCTCTTCACTATGGACATGTAATCCCTTTACATTTCCATTCTCCATCAGGATGGTCCCCGCTGGAAAAAAAGGCCTGAACTGTCCCCATTCACCACCACCCTCCTCTACCTGACCAAGCTCTTCCTCATTCTGAACAACTTCTCCTTTAACTCCTCTCACTTTCTTCAGATCAAAGGCTATGGTACCTGCATGGGTTCCACTTATGCCTTTCCCTTTGTGGGGTACATGGAACATTCCTTGTTCCAGTCCTACCATCTCTGACTCCTCCATTCCCTTCCTCAACTTCTCTGATTCCATCTCTGGCAATCAGCTGGCCACTTATATCCAGTACAATCCCATCGACTCCCACAGGTACCTAGACATTACATCCTCACACCCCATTTCCTGTAAAGACTCCAACTCATTCTCCCAGTTTCTCTATCTCCATTGCCTCTATTCTAATGATACCACTTTCCACAACGGGGCCTCAGAAATGTCCACCTTTTTCCTCAACTGAGGATTCCCCACCATCGTAGTTGACAGGGCCCTCAGCTGTGTCCGACTCATATTTCACACTTCGGCCCTCATCTCTTCTCTTCTCTTCCCTCCCACAATGCCAATAGTGTCATCTCAGTCCTCACTTTCCACCCAACTAGCATCCACTTCCAAACGATCATTAGCCACCATTATCTTCTTAGGGACCCTGCTGCCTTCAGAGCATAACATTGAGTTGAATAATTTCAGCACCTGAGCAACTTCTCCCATGTTGTTCCCTCACGCTCACACACCAGGCCTTGTCATCATATTGGCTACTTTCACCACAGCCAGTCCTGGGCAGCAAAGTGGTTAGCACTTCTGCCTCACGGTGTCAGGGACTTGGGTTCAATTCTACAATCAGAAGACGACTGCACGTGTGTAGAGTTTGCACATTCTCCTCTTATCTTTCCTTCAGATGGTCTGGTTTCTTCCCACAGTCCAAAATGTGCAGGTTAAATGATCGTCCATGCTAAATTGCATGTAGAGTCCCGGGCGTGCAGGCTAGTGGATTAGCCATGGAAAATCCAAGAGTCCAGGAAAAGAATCTGGGATGGGTTTGGGTGAGATGATCTTCATGGGGTCAGTGTGGACTCAATGGGCCAAATGGCCTGCTTCCACACTGTAGGGATTCTATGAGCCCATTTTCACCCACCAATGGGCCCCATTAGCAGCCTGTCCATCTCACAGGCTCATCATTATCCATTGCTTTCACAAAGTTGCTGGAAAAGCTCAGCAGGTCTGGCAGCATCTGTGAAGGAAAAAAACAGAGTTAACGTTTCAGGTCCGGTGACCCTTCCCCAGAACTCAGAAACATTAACTCTGTTTTTTCCTTCACAGATGCTGCCAGGCCTGCTGAGCTTTTCCAGCAACTTCTGTTTTTGTTCCTGATTTTCAGCATCCGCAGTTCTTTCGGTTTTATCTGTCCCATGCTGTTTTCTCTCTATCTGGGCTCTAACTCCAGCTATCTTCTACACCTTCCCCTCCAGAATAGATAATAAACCTTTTCCTGGATTTTTGAAGGAGGGTCATGTTGAATCTCTGCTTTCTCTCTCTACACATGCTGCCAGCCCTGCTGAACTTCTTCATGTTTGTTTTAATTCATGTCCACGTGCTGGTTAACAGTGAATGTTAGTTAATGGTCAATGAGTTGGTTTATGTTAGTTAGTGATTGGAGAATAATTAACAGTCACTGATCTTTACCTTGCAACCAATTTGGCGGGAGCACCAGGAGAGGGAATGCCCTCTGAGCTAATTGGCTGCTCGGCAACGAATGGATACGCCCCTCCGGGTTGGCTGTTAGGCGGCCAATGGAAGCCCCGGGTGGCAGCGAGGCGGCCAACTGGAAGTCTGGATTGGATGCACGGCAGTTAGAGACTTCAGGATTGGCTGTTGCGGGCACCCAATGGGAGACCCAGCTGGCGGCACGCTGGCCAAAGGGCTTCTAGATCGGCCGCACGACGGCCAATGGGAACGCGGATTACTGGCCCGCGGATAATATAAGAAGCGGCATCACGTGACCGCGGGTCTCAGTCAGCGACGGTGCGGGAGGATGGTGAGTGGGTTCCGACGGCGCAGCGGCAGGAGCTTGGGGCTGGAGGGCGAGAGGGAGACCTGGGGCTGCGAGCGCGATGGGTGGCGGTCAGGCCCGTCCCAACCCCTGAAGTAGCTTCCCTGCGGGCTGCCGGGTCTGACCCCCACCCGAACGTGCTCCCGGACCCGCGGCCTCATGGCGGCGGCGAGCAGGCCTCGGGTCCGGGTCAGGCCGCGCCTGATCCGCCCCATGTGTGTTTGGTGGGGGAACAGTGTGGAGGGAGCTTGGGGCCCTTAGGTAAGGAAAGATTCGCTGGCACTGGAGACAGTCCAGGGAAGGTTCAGTCGCCTCATACCAGGTTTGGAGAGATCTCATTATGAGGAGAGGTTGAGCCTTTACTCATTGGAGTTTAGAAGAATGAGGGGTGACCTTATTTAAAAGTACAAGATTCTTAAGGAAGTTAAACAAAAGACTGCGGATGCTGGAAATCCGAAACAAAAAATATTGCTGGAGCAGCTCAATAGGTCTGGCGGCCACAGTCACGTTTATAGATTCCCTACAGTGTGGAAAACAAGTCGTTCGGCCCAACAAGACCACACCAAGCAGCATCCCACCCAAACTCTCTCACCCCTCTCCCCACTCCCCTGTAACCCTAATGTAATGGCTAATCAACCCATCCAAACTACCCTGGATACTATGGGTAATTTAGCATGGCCAGTCCACATTACCTGCGCATCATTGGACTGTAGGAGGAAACCGGAGCACCCTGAGAAAATCCACGCAGACACCGGGAGAGTGTGCAAACCCCACACAGTCACCCAAAGTGGAATTAAGCCCGGGTCCCTGGCGCTGTGAGGCAGCAGTGGTAACCTCTGAGCTATCATGTTACACTGTGCTGACTCCAGTGACTCTCCTAACAGTACCCCGCACAGTCCAGTGATTCCTAAGTGAAATGATTGTAGAGGAATCTGCAACCAAAAGTTAGAATCTCTGACCAACTGAAGACCAGTGTAGAATTTCATTTGTTGTGAATCTGCAATTCCTTGCTGTAGAATCTGAGCTGTTAAGGTAGTCAGAGCTGAGATTTATAATGAAGTGATTGGGGGGGCAGTTATGGTGAAAATGTAGGAAAATAAGGTTCAGGATTATCAGGAGCAAATTACTGCAGATGCTGCAATCTGTACTGAAAACAATAAATGCTAAAGGCACCGTCTGACCAAGAGTCACCTAGGCTTGAAACGTTAGCTTGCTGTGATGTTTCATGGATGTTGCCTGACACGCTGTGATCTCCAGCATTTTTTGTTTTCAGTTCAGTATTTAGGTTGGCTTGGATCTCATTCAATGATGACGTAGATTCAATGGCCTAATTCTGCTTCTATGCCTTATAGTCTGAACCATCTTTTACTCTGTGTAAGTGTTCAATGGTGATAAGGTAAAGTGACTGTTACTGTGTCTAGCCAGCACACTTGCCTTTATTAGTCAAGGCATAGAATAGAAGCGCAAGGTGGTTATAATGGAGCTGTATGTGTTAGTTAGGTCACAGCTAGGGTGTTGTGTGTTTCTGGTCACAACATTATAGGAAGGGTGTCATTGCACTAGAGATGGTGCAAAAAGGATTCACTAGATTGTTGCTGGGGCTGAAGTGATTCGGCAATGAAAAGAGTAGTTGGCCTGAGAGAGATAGTAGGAGCTGCAGATGCTAGAGAATCCGAGACAACAAGGTGCAGAGCTGGATGAACACAGCAGGCCAAGCAGCATCATAGGAGCAGTTGGGCTGACGTTTCGGGCCTAGACCCTTCATCAGAAATGGGGGAGGGGAAGGGGGTTCTGAAATAAACAGGGAGAGAGGGGGAGGCAGATAGAAGATGGATAGAGGAGAGGAAACAGACAGGTCGAAGAGGTGGCGATGGAGCCAGTAAAGGTGAGTGTAGGGAGGGGATAGGTCAGTCCAGGGAGGACGGACAGGTCTGGGGGCGGGATGAGGTTAGTAGGTAGGAGATGGGGGTGCGGCTTGAGGTGGGAGGAGGGGATAGGTGGGAGGAAGAACAGGTTAGGGAGGCGGGGACGAGCTGGGCTGGTTTTGGGATGCGGTAGGGGGAGGGAAGATTTTGAAGCTTGTGAAATCCACATTGATACCATTGGGCTGCGGGGTTCCCAAGCGGAATATGAGTTGCTGTTCCTGCAACCTTTGGGTGGCCCAAGCGGAATATGAGTTGCTGTTCCTGCAATCTTCGGGTAAAGCAAACTACTACTCCCTTCTGAGTCCGAGGACAGAGGCCAGTTCTTTTTTTTTATATAGTAACTCCTGCTGGGGCATTTAGCACCAGGTCAGGTTCCTCCAACACTTCCTCTGATACGGACAGCATGTAATGCACAGTAGCTCACCTCTTGCTCCCAAAAGAAATTTGCTCTCCTCTTCAGGCGGCAAAGGCATCGAGGCTGCAATATCTGCCATGTCCATCTCAGTATCTTCAATGCTTGCTGGAAAGGGAGAACCCACCAGTTCCAGAATAGTCGGGGAGCTGGGCATGTTTTGATTTTGTCCCGTTTGCAAGTTTGAAGTGTTCATATGGTCCTGTGCTGTACTCTTCCTGGAAGTTTGGGACAATATTGAAGGAACTGCACTCGATATCTAAACCCATGAACCTGTCAAGGATGTGTTTGAGGTTATGGAGCTGTAGGAAATTGGAGTTCATGGAGCAAAGCAGTGAAGCAGTTTGTAACCTTAAGATATTAATATTGACTTGCACTGTCAGTGCAGGTGTGATTGGTGAATGGGAATCAGGACAAGTGACAATTTGGGCAGCAGTGATTTTGATGGACCTCTCTAACTTAATGGAGAATAGAATATGGAAGGAGACCAGTCAGGTTGAATGTTAGGTTGGTTAATTCCCAAGGTAACAGCAGGATTTCAGATTAGCCAACATAGGAACCTGGTAGGGTGGTGTTGTAAAAATGGAAACGGGTAAATTCAGAATGCGTTGTGTACTCGGGAGCTCATCTTGGAATTGGGCTTTTGAACAGTCTCGAAGTGCCAGAGAAAGGCAGCATCTGTGGAGAGAATAGCACTGAATGTTTTGCATCTGGCTTTGTTTCTCTTACAGATGCTCCTGGACCTGACTTTCTCCAGCAATTTGAATTTGTTTCAAATCTCCAGCATCCACAGCTTTTGTTTTATTATGCTATTGTAAAAAGTCTTGATCAGTCTCCCAGTTACCAGAAAGGCTGAAGTCTGTAACTCAAGCAAATTTTTTGAATAAGACACTGGGCACAATGAGAGGTAACGAGGTGTAGAACTGGTTGAACACAGCAGGCCAAGCAGCATCAGAGGGTCTAGACCCGAAACAACATCAGCCTTACTGCTCCTCTGATGCTGCTTGGCCGGCTGTGTTCATCCATCTCTACACCTTGTTATCTCAGATTCTCCAGCATCTGCAGTTCCTACTATCTCTGAAATAATGTTCTAGGGATGTGGGATAGCAAGGTGTAGAGCTGGATGAACAAGCAGCATCAGAGGAGCAGGAAGGCTGACGTTTCGGGCCTGGACCCTTCTTCAGAAATGGGGGAGGGGGAGGGGAAGGGCTTCCTGAATGATGTTGCCTGGCATGGAGGGAAGGTCTTATGAGGAAAGGCTGAGGGTTTTGAGGCTGTTTTCATTAGAGAGAAGAAGGTTAAGAGGTGACTTGATAGAGTAAAGAACCTACCTCTGACATCTGTCCTATATCTATCACCCCTCAATTTAAAGCTATGTCCCCTCGTGCTAGCCATCACCATCCGAGGAAAAAGGCTCCCACTGTCCACCCTATCTAATCCTCTGATCATCTTGTATGTCTCAGAGTAGTAAGGGCGTGGAATGCCCTGCCTGCAAAAATAGTAGACTCGCCCACTTTAAGGGCATTTAAATGGTCATTGGATAAACATATGGATGATAATGGAATAGTTTAGGTTAGATGGGCTTCAGATTGGTTTTCACAGGTCGGCGCAACATCGAGGGCCGAAGGGCCTGTACTGCGCTGTAATGTTCTATGTTCTAAATAGGGAGAGAAGGGGAGGTGGATAGAAGATGGATAGAGGAGGAGATAGGTGGAGAGGAGACAGACCGGTCAAAGAGGTGGGGATGGAGCCAGTAAAAGTGAATGTAGGTGGGGAGTTAGGGAGGAGATAGGTCAGTCCAGGGCAGATGGACAGGTCAAGGGGGCGGGATGGGGTTGGGGCTTGAGGTGGGAGGAAGGACAGGTTAGGGAGGCGGGGACGAGCTGAGCTGGTTTTGGGATGCAGTAGCGGGAGGGGAGATTTTGAAGCTTGTGAAGTCCACATTGATACCATTGGGCTGCAGGGTTTATACCATGTCGAGTGGTGAGGCTGGAAATTTGCCCTGATGGTAATCATCTAGCCACTGTCATTTCTCTTACAAACCAGCTGGGGGTTCACCAATTTTCTTTAGGGATCGACAACTGCCATCATTACCTAGTCTGGCCTACATGTAACTCCAGAGCCGTAGCAATGTAGTTTACCCATTACTACCCTCTGTGTGTTTAAGGGTGGACAATAAGTACTGGCCTAGCCAGTCTCCATGATCAGAGATGTATAAATAAATAAAGGCACACAGTACCTGGCCAGGGAAGGTCTCTGTTAAACATCTGTAGACCCTACAGCCATCTCAACTAGAATATTCAGTTCTGGGTGCCACACTTTAGGCAAGAAAAGAAGGCTTTGGAGAGAGTGCTGATAAGATTCATGGAAATAATACCAGGGTGACTTACAAAGAAAGATGGAGTTGGGCCACTCTTCAAGAAAAGGTGATTTGATCGTCAAAATCATGAGAAGTCTGGATGATGTCTACAGGGAGGAAATGTTGTTTTGGTAAAAGTGTTGTGAACAAGAGAGCAGAGGATTCTGATATGTGATGCTTCAGGTCTGCCCTTTGCTGCCTGAGTGTATTGCAAGGTTGGATTCAGTTGTGGCTTCCAAGAGGGAGTTGGGGCAGTTTTGTGAAAACAAAGAATGTACAGATTATGGGGAGAAAGACACTGAGTTGCTTACTTAGTGCGATGGTGGACCTTATGGCCACCACCTGCACTCTTAACTATTGAGTTAAGTTTGACCTAGAAATGGTTTGAAGTCAGGTTAGCAGCAGCTCTAAAGCCACCTATTCAAGCAGCCACCATCACAATGGGATAGGCATTGAATGGTCTATTGATGTGCCCAGCTAGTGAGACCCCCATCCTGTGAGTAAATAAAGCACTCACCTGTGGCCCAGACAAAAATGAGGCATTGTAGGAGGGAGAATGTTGAGGCAGCTGTTTCAAAAGCTGCAGGCAGATTGAGAACGCCAAGGAAAGCTTACCTTTGTCAAAGGATGTGAGCATTATTTGAACTTGGGTGTCAATTGGCAGAATCTGAAGGGGTTGAGTTGGATGCTGGTAGCTTATTCAAAGATTTTGGAAAGGAGGGAAATTTTGTGGGTGGGGGCAGCCATTTGCAAAAATGGACAAGGGATGTTGATGCAAGAAGACAAAGGATGAACTGAAGAAACCAAATGTGATGTGGCTGAGGTATAACTGAGATGGAATCTCAGTGGTTAGCACTGCTGCCTCACAGCGCCAGGTACCCGGGTTCGATTCCACCCTTGGGCGACTGTCTGTATGGAGTTTGCTCACACTCCCGGTGTCTGCATGGGTTTCCTCCCACAGTCCAAAGATGTGCAGGCTGGGTGAATTGGCCATGCTAAGTTGCCTGTAGTGTCCAGGGATGTTTAGGTTAGGTGGGTTAGACATGGGGAAATGCAGGGGTAGGGGAATAAGTTGGGGTGGGATACTTTTCGCAGGGGCGGTGTGGACTTGTTGGGCCAATTGGCCTGTTTTTGCACTGTAGGGATTCTATGATTAACAAATTCTGTATTCAAAAATACATAGGAACAAATGGCTCGACTCGAATTGTTGAACTCTTGAATCCAGAAGAATGTAAAGGATCTACTGGGGAAAGGAGGGACCATTGATTGAGCTTATGTACAGCTGTTTCTTGGAGGAGTGTGGGACAGATTGGATTGGGGCAGAGATTTAAGGTGTTATGAAATCTCCTCTCTTAATCTAGTCTGTCTAAAACTCACGTGTAACTAAACAACCCTTTGTTAAATCCTGCAAAATTTCCCATTGATTTGCCAGTACCTCTGTATTTGCACCAAAGATTCTGAGAGATTCTTACAAGGAGTTTGCTGCAGGTATTCTATGAACTGTTCCATGTTGTCTTGTCAGGTTCTGTTACATGTGTTGTTCGAACATGCTGCTGGCTATGCATTGCTGGCAGTTAAAGAAGTTGAGGAGATCGGCTTGCTTCTTCCTCAGGTGAGCTAGTATTTAAGATTCTTGCGAAGATTTGTAGCTCAGTTTGTGGGTGAGGTTGTTGGCTTTCTAGCTGAGCTGGCTGGTTATCGTACTGACGTTTCGTCACCATGCTAGGTAACATCATCAGTGCGGCTCCTGATGAAGCAATGTTGTTCTACTCTGCTTGGTATTTATATGATCCAGTCTTGTTAAGTTGGCTTGTGTCATTTCCCCATATACAGAACAGAGCCGGAAATGACATCAATGAACTTAACAGACCGGATCATATAAATACCAAGCAGAGTAGAACAACATTGGTTCATCAGAGGTCGCACTGATGATGTTACCTAGCATGGTGATAGAACATCTGAACAATAACCAGCCAGCTTGGTGAGCAAGCCAACAAACTCGTGAGCTAGTATGTTTGGTGCCAGATTTCCCTATTTTTTTGAGTGGTTATTTTGTGAGATTGGGTTAGTACAGCATGGAAACAGACTCTTCAGTCCAACCAGTCCATGTGGGCAATAATCCCAAACTAAACTAGTCCCACCTGCATGCACTTGGCCCATATCTCTTCAAACATTTCTTATTTATGTACTTTTCCAAATGTCCTTTAAACATTGTAACTACCCACAACCACCACTTCCTCTGGAAGTTCATTTCATATGTACAACACAGTGTAAAATTTTAAAAAGTTACACTTCATGTCTTTTTTTAAATTGCCTCCTCTCCCCTTAAAAATATGCTCCCTAGTATTGAAATCCCCACTCTAGGGCAAAGACTCCTGCCATTCGCCTTATCTATGACCCTTATAATTTCATAAACCTCGATAAGGTTGCCCCTCAACCTCAACATCAGTGGATGACCCAGCCTCTCCTTATAACTCAAACCCTCCATTTCTGTCAACATCCTGGTTTCTGAACCCTCTGCAGCTTAATATCCTTCCTGTATCAGGGCAACCAGTACAGGACTCCAGAAGAGGTAAAACCTCAACATGATGTCCCAATGCCTATACTCCATGGTCTGAGCCGTGAAGGCAAGCATCCTAAATACCTTCTTAACCACCCTATCTATATGTGATACAAACTTCAAAGAACTATGCGCCTGAACCCCTAGGTGTTTGTTTTACCATAATGCAATACCTCGCATTTATCCAAATTAAGCTTCTTCTGCCAGTCCATTGAGCCAATTGATCAGATCACTTTGTAATCTTAGATAACCTCCTTTACTGTCCACTGTACCACAATCTTGGTGTCATCCACAACCTTACGAACCATGCCTTCTATATTCTTGTCTAAATCATTTACATAAATGACAAACAAAAGTGGGCCCAGCACCGATCTCTGTGAAACACTGTTGGTCGCATGCCTCCAGCCCAAAAAACAACACTCCTCCGTCACTTTGTCTCCTGCCATTAAGCCAATTTTGTATCCAATTGGCAAGCTCACCCTGAATCTCATGTGATCTAACTTTACTGACCAGTCTACCATGTGGAACCTTGTCAAAGGCTTTACTAAAATCCAAATAAACAATGTCTACTGCTTTGCCCTCAATCGTCTTGATTACTTGCTGACAAAACTCAAACTAGGGGTGGCACGGTGGCACAGTGGTTAGCACTGCTGCCTCACGGCGCCAGGGACCTGGGTTCGATTCCAGCCTCGGGCGACGGTCTGTGTGGAGTTTGGACATTCTCCCCGTGTCTGCGTGGGTTTCCTCTGGGTGCTCCGGTTTCCTCCCACAGTCCAAAGATGTGCAGATTAGGTGGATTGGCCATGCCAAATTGCCTGTAGTGTTCAGGGATGTGTAGACTAGGTGGGTTATAGGGGGATGGGTCTGGGTGGGATGCTCTAAGGTTTGGTGTGGACTTGTTGGGCCGAAGGGCTTGTTTCCACACCGTAGGGATTCTGTGATTCTAAACAAGTTTGAGAGACATTTTCCCTGCACAAAGCTATGCTGACTATCCCTAACATTCCTTGGGTTCTTGCCAAACAGCCAGGTACAGTACCTTTGCAGCACTTGTTAAACAGAGGTCTGTCAGCCCAGATTGTGCCTGCTAGAGGCTGAACCCTCAAATTCACAGCTCATTGGTTTCGAACAAAAATAATGGCAGTTTTGTACTGAACAAGTTTGAAGGAATCCTCAAGCTTATGGCTAATAGATGGTCCCTGGCTGTGTATTTCTAGTAATGCCTTGTATCAGCAGATAAGACCAATGCAGTTGCTACCCTCTGATCATGCAAGTCTACGTGCTGTCGGTATTGATGGGTGAGTTTGAGGGCAGGTTAGTGATTGAAAATTGGGTTGACTGTGTGGGAGGGAGAGCAGCCCTGTGTTCTCTGCTGCTGACTTTCTTGATTGCATTCAGTAATGTGTGTGACTGCTCCCCGGCTGGGTTTGTAGATGTCACGAGCTAATTGCTGTGCAACTGTCCCTTCCTGTTTCAGGTGGTGGAGAGTATGCTGACCATTGGCAAATTCAACAGTATTGTTAAACTAGTGGCATTTTCACCGTTTAAGTCTGCTCAAAGTGCCCTTGAAAACATGAATGCTGTTTCTGAAGGTGAGTCTGGGAATTTCTGGTTTGGGTCAGATTCTAATAACAGCTATGTGATGAGTTGAGTTGGGTTGCTGTGTGTCCTGTCTGGTCTATGTAATGGTGACAAGTTATTATCCATAAGTCAATCTTGTTAAAGTGATGTACTGAGGGGAGATCATTTCACTCCCAGTGTTTCCTATTCATTCGTGGGAAGTAGGCATTGCTGGTTGGGCCAGCATTTATTGCCCACCCCTATCTGTCCTTCATAAGTTTCTACGCCTAACAAACTGGCATGTAACTATGGCAGCTAGTCTGGACAGTGCACTTGGCTGTACCCGAGAATTGGGAATTGCAGAGTAGTGTTAGTCTGGGGAACAGGAGTGTTGTGTAAAATTAAAGTGTATGGGAACAGGGGGAGTGTATTAAGGTGGAGAGAAAATTAGATAGCAGATAGGAAACAGTATGGATAAATGGATCTTTTTCTGAATAGCAGGCAGTGACTATTGGGGTACGACAGACATTGGTATGAGGACCCCAGCTGTTCGCAAGATCGGTTAATGATTTAGATGAGGGAACTAAATGTAATAGCTTATTTGCAGATGACACAAAACTGAGTGGAAGGGTGAGCTGTGAGGAGGTTGCAGACATGTTAGTGTGATTTTTGACAGGCTGAATGAGTGGTCAGGTGAAATTGAGCCAAGTTTGTCCAATCACTTGTACTAGGCAACATCCTGGTAAAATTTTTTTTCTGTACCCTCTCAAAAGCTTCTGCATTCAAGTAGTGTGGCAACCAGAACTATACACAAAATTCCAAATATGACCAAACTAACTATGCAATTTTGGTCTCCTTATCTGAGGAAGGGAGCTCTTGCTATAAATTAGAAAAATGACAATGAAGTTAAAAAGATGAGTATTACAGTCTCCGGTCGATCAGTGCAGGGGACTTCCACCTGTGGCCTGACCAGGCTCGCAAGCCACTGACTGTCCACACTGGTCCCCAGTTTGATAACCATCCCTACATCGCTCAGGCCTCCAGCTTGCTCTAGCTCTGGAGAGAACACCAAGGGGACAAAAAGAGAAGAAAGCAGAGGAGCTCCTGTTGGAGTAACCTACTCTGCCGCCACTTTGGCTGGAAATTTTCGGGCCGAGATGAGAAGTTTTTTCGAGAGCTTTGAGCCTGTCAAATTCACCACCACAGAATGTGGTTAAAGCCAAAACATTGTGTTTTCATGAAGGAGGTAGAAACAGCTTTTGTGGCTAAAGGGTTACGGAGGGTGAGAGTGGGCAGGATTTGGGTGTTGAGCTCAGTGATCAGCCATGAGCATATTTAGTGGTGGAACAGACTCAAGGGGTTGAATGGTCTACTGTCTGCCTTATGTCCCCTGATAGAATTCTCCAAGTCCTTTAAACTGTCGTGCACGGCTGTTTGGTATAACTGCCAACCTAGTCTGTTATAAAGTGAGTTACCTGAGCTGACTGAAAGCTGTTTCCCAGGTATTGTTCACGAGGACATGAGGCTCCTGCTGGAGACAAACATGCCTGCTTCCAGCAAGAAGAGGAAGGTGATCCTGGGGGTGGCAGATCCAAAAATTGGAGCGGCGATCCAGGAGGAAATTGGCATCCACTGTCAAACTGGAGGGGTGGTGGCAGAAATCCTTCGAGGTGAGGATGGGATTGGTGAAGGGACTAAATCAGTGTTGAGCTACCAGTGGAATTCTTGCGTTAACTGGGAGTGAGTTACACAAGATTTGACATGTTGTGTGGTCTGGCTAAGCTAAGCTATCCCTGGTTTATGGGCAAGTCTCTGTCCCTTATCAGAATACTGAGTCTTGCAGCTTTGGGTCTTCTGTTTTTGCTAATGAATACACTGCTATTTGAGATTTCAGCATAACATCTCTCACACGTGTGTTCTTGCTCCATATCCTTTCATTCTAGAGTTTTCTTGTAAATATCTACTTTTGCTTCCTCCTGGTGTACTGATGGGCTGTTTTATTTTCTGCTGTAGGGGTGCGGCTTCATTTCCACTCGCTGGTGCAGGGTCTGTCTGCACTATCTGCTGCCAAAGCCCAGCTAGGCTTGGGGCACAGCTACTCTCGGGCCAAGGTGAAGTTTAATGTGAACCGTGCAGACAATATGATCATCCAGTCTATCAGCCTGTTGGACCAACTGGACAAAGACATCAACACATTCTCCATGAGAGTCAGGTAAACAGGGACCAGGAACACTCAATCTTTTAACTGAAGACCCCAGTGTCCCTAAGGCTTAGTGCTGGTGCTGGTGCTGGTGCTGTTGCTTTGTAAATACAAGGTTGATCAGCACATTGGTGTCATCAGAATGCCAAGAAATTGTAGTTAATATGGTGTAATATTGGGGGCACTGGAGAAATAACACATAATGATCAAATATTTTAAACTGTTAGGAAGCTCTTGGATTGGGCCTTGTCTCTGGGTCTGATGCCCTGCTGGCCTCCTTTGACTTACCACAGACAGTGCTTTCTTTCAGCGCTGACTGTATAGAAATGGGAGGTAAAGTACAATTCCCTGTTACACCACAGCCGTGCTCCTTCTGTGGCTCAGGTTGTATTGTTGACAGGGAGACACCTTCTGACTTGTTAACCAAGACATTTAGAGAGAGCTGTGTGTCACTCGTTGTGAACTGATAACTAGGGCTTGGCTTATTTGACCAAAAGGTGATCTGTTCATTTCTCGTGATCTCTGTTCCTTTCTCTTCACAGAGAGTGGTATGGATACCACTTCCCAGAGCTCATCAAGATTGTTGCAGACAACTATACTTACTGTCGACTAGCAAAACTAATTGGGAATCGCAAGGAGCTATCCGAGGAGAGCCTGGGCTCCCTGGAAGAGATTGTAATGGACAGTGCCAAAGCCCAGGCCATCCTTGATGCAGCACGCAGTTCTATGGGTTGGTGTTGCATTGTTGTGTTGAAAGTTTGTTTCTTCCAGTACCCTCCGCCCTATGTTTTTGTGTTGCTTCTCTCCATTCCTGTGTGTGCTATAGCTGCATTCCAGGCAGTTGAGGGACTGCCTTGCTGCTCTGTCACTATTAAAGAGTTTAAATTAGGTCAGAAATGTGTAACACGTTGTGATGATCCCTCAAATCTGTCAATCCTCTGATTAAACTGTGAGGATGATCCATGTTCTGAGCGTGTTCACTCTGGCCCTGGTCAGAATTGTGCAGGTGACATTCTGTGATGACTTAATACACTCAAGTGTGCAATCCAACCTGCCCAGAAGTGTAAAATAAGAATGTAAATAGGAGCAGGAGTAAAATCATCCCTCAACTGTTCAGAAAGATTTGTTTATTGTCGGACCTGTGAATGTGTGTGCTGAGTGTGCATGAATCATTTGTTAGGCTCCACCTTGTGGTTTGGGTCATCTCATTGCAGAAAGGATGTGATTGTGCTGAACAGGGCAGGCAGGAGGTGAATTATCAGCATGTTGCCAGAACTGGGGAAATTAAAGCTGAAGAAAGATTGAACAGGCTGGGAACAAAAACAAGTTGCTGGAAAGGCTGTGAAAAACGGGTTCTGAGGAAGGGTCACCGGACCTGAAACGTTACCTCTGATTTTCTCTTCACAGATGCTGCTAGACCTGCTGAGCTTTTCCAGCAACTTATGTTTTTGTTCCTGATTTACAGCATCTGCAGTTCCTTTGTTTTTTTATTTGGACAGGCTGGGGTTGTTCTCTTTGGAACAAGGAGGCTGAGGGATTTTTTTTGAAGTGTACAAAATTTGGGGAGCATCCTGGATAGGGTGGGTGGCAGCCTTCCACCTAAAGGGTGGAGTGTGTCTGGAACTATCTAGCCCTCATCTCAGTCCTGAATAGTTGGCCCTGTATTCTCATCCCCTGTCTGAGATTACTCTGCTCGGGAAACCTAGTCTCAGCATTTACACTAAAGCCTCTTGAACATGTTATATTTTTATTCAGATTTTTCTAAACTCTAGAAAGTATAGACAAATCTGCTCAATCGCTCCTTATAGGATGGTCCCCTCATCTGAAGAAAGAGGTTTAGTGAATATTTGCACTCCCTGTAAGAGACATGCTTCACTGTGGAATATTAAAACAAGACAGTTCTCCTGTGGTGACCTCAGTATTGTTTATTACATACTCTAATCTTCACTGTGAAAGGATTGTGGTTAACATGATTTACCTTCCTAATTGTATATTTTGCCTGCATGTTAACTTCCTGTGATTTTTTGCGCAGTGTTTTCATAGTGAGCGCTCTGCCAGACTCAACCATAATTCCAATACCGTCTAACTTCTGCATCTCTTGCTGTGACAGGTATGGATATCTCTCCAATCGACCTCATTAACATCGAGAGCTTCTCTAACAGAGTGGTTTCTCTGGCTGAATACAGGACTACTTTACAGGATTACCTGCGCTCCAAGATGAGCCAGGTGGCACCCAATTTGGCAGTCCTCATTGGGGAGGTGGTAAGTGGTGCCATGTTTTGCCCTACTGTGAAGATTTTGGCAGCAATTAACCAACCATCCTCGCCCAGCACTGTGTTTTAAACTTGCGCTGCTTGTGTGGCGAGGGCTTGCAGTGAAAGTTACAGTAGTGGAATGTGCGATTTACTTTTGAAGTCTTCTGTCCATTTGGAAAGTGTCTGTGTTAAGTGTATAGTGTGCCTGCAACTCCAGTGCATTAGTGTCTAGATTAGGTCTGGAACGTGAATCACGTTGTGATGATCTCCTAAATCTGTCAATCCTCTGATTAAACTGTGAGGATGATCCAAGTTCTGAGCGTGTTCACTCTGGCCCTCGTCATGAGCTGTTTGGGTAGTATTGGTGAAATCCATTCTCCCAGCTTTCCCTAAAGCTGCTAATTCTTTAAACATTTGTCTAGGCCCTGCATCACAGCATGCTGCACTGCCCCCTTTAACCAAGAGGCCTGTTTTTCAAGTTAATATTAGCTTCTCTGACCATGGGAAAGTATTTGTAGTCCAGGTTCTGTGATCGGGCTGATGGTATTGAGTCATAGGGGGCTGTTGTAGACATGTGGTAAATGTTGATTTTATTCTTCCCTCTTTAGGTGGGTGCCCGTCTCATCTCCCACGCAGGCAGTCTGACGAATCTGGCCAAGTACCCAGCCTCAACGGTGCAGATTTTGGGTGCAGAGAAAGCTTTGTTCAGGTATAGCTGCTGGGTGGCTGTGGTGATGGCAGGTTACTGGGTGGCTGTGTTTGATGCACTGCCAGTGTGTTTGCAGGCAGTGTGAGTGATAACCAACCCCAGCTCTGAGCAGCCACTGCTTTACTCCATGATGCTACTACTAATGTCTAGTCTGTAAGGGGTGTATTTTCGATTTGGATCCCTTGCATTAGGTATTGACCTTTTATTGCCACCACTTTTATTTTAGTTTGTAACTAATTGGCATGGAGAATGTTGCGTCTGAAGACTGATGTGTACTGTTAATCTCTTGTACATTTCAGGATGTTGGTGTTACTGAGCCAACATTTGTTGTCCATGTGAATTTGCCCTTGAGAAATTGGTGGTGAGCCACCTCTAGAACTGCTGCAAGGATAATGTATGTTTCCATGTTGGGTTGGAGTGTGACTTGCAGATGGTGATGCTGCTGTGAAAGGAGGCTTCACTAATTACAGCAATGTTCTGTGTGTATCTGGAGAAATGAAGCTAAAGTAGGCCACTTGTCCCCTCAAGTCTGCTGCATAAGAACATACGGGTTAGGAGTTACAATAGGCTTTTTGACTATTCATGATCTCTATCGTTATGATCACGGCTGATCAATTTATGTTGTGAATACCGCATTTCTTCCTGGCCTGACAAGAATTTGCCCCGCTTCTATTCCTTAGGATTCAAAGCATAAGCTTCCATTGCCCTTTCAGGAAAAGTTCCAGCATTTCTTGGCCCTCCTGAGAAATGCTTCTCCTTTCCCCTGTCTGAAAGGGCTAGCCCTTGTGTATAAACTGGTGCCTGACCTCCCAGGCTCTCCCACAAGAGAAAACCCTGCCTTGTCCGCAGGCATACTGTCAGGGCCACCCAGGATCGTGTATGTTTCAAACCTGTCACCTCTTCCTTTTCTAAGCTCCAAAAAGAAAGCCAAGTCTGTCCAACCTTTCCATTCCAGGTGTGGTCTCACCACTGCCCCTTGCGGGTGAAGAGTAACCTCAACTTCCGTATTCCATTTAACTTGCAGTAAACAATAGCATTTTATTAAATTTCCAAATTACAATCAACCATCTTATTTTTCCTTAATCTCCACTTTGGGAAGGACTGTAACTCCTTTTCCTAGCTTTGCTGTCTATAGGAAATCATAAGCTTTCATTTCCCTCACCTTTTGCCCTTAATTTTAGCCTTTTTTATTTGGCTGTTTTTCATTGAGTCCACAGTCTGCTGGCTTGCCTTTGTGTGATTATATGCTTTTCTTTAAAGTTTGATGCCATGGTACATGTATAATTAGTGCATCCGTCCCTTTGCTTTTTTTCTTCCTCATTGCAATGTTTCTGTTGTGTATTCCTGTCAAGTGCTATTTACCATTTCCCATATACCTTCCTCTTGCTTCGTATTTACTACATTTTCCTGAGTTATGCAGCTTGCTTGAACACTGGTCCTAACAATTCAATGGCCCATGAGCCCATTTGTACTGCAGCAGGTTTTGAGCCATTTTTGCTGATGGATAGAGTGAGCTGACCTAAATACCCTCCTCCTGTCTGGTCGTGTGCGGATGGAGGGGGTCATACATGTCTAACCACCGCTTCCATCCCTGTCTGACTGCAGAGCATTAAAAACCAGAGGAAACACTCCCAAGTACGGCCTCATCTTCCACTCGACATTCATTGGCCGAGCGGCAGCAAAGAATAAGGGCAGGATTTCCCGTTACCTGGCCAACAAGTGCACAATAGCATCAAGGATTGACTGCTTCTCAGGTGAGGTCTGGACGGGGTCCACTGGGGTGTTGCTTCAGCCAGCATGGTGACTGCAGTGATGTTTTGAGTATTTTTCGTCAACCGCATTTCACTGCTGTGAATGTTGACAATGTTTCTCTGAGCAGAGCCGGCTGGATGGAGCAGGGTCTGCTGTACCAGTTGTGTGGCAGTAAGGTACTGCTTTGTAGTTTGCATTTCTGTTTGGCACCACAAGAAAACTGTGGGCTTCAGTTATTGGTGTGTGGATTGTGTATTTTTGGCAGTACAGGCTTGATGGACCAAAGGACCTCTTCTATACAGTATGATTCTACGTGGGTGATCCGGGCAAACCTGGTAATGTTCCATCCTGTTGGGGTGGAGCTGGAGTTAGTAAACTCGTTGGGGAGTGTACTGCTGTCCAGGGCTGTTTGGGAGAGGCTGGTCTCTGCTCCCTGGGACTGTGAATTGGGGATGATGTGGGTGGAGGTGAGCTGATGTACGAACAAAGCTGACCATTCTCCTGTGACTCCATATATTGACTCTAAATTGTTCTATTTCAGAAATACCCACTAGTGTTTATGGAGGCAAGCTTCGAGACCAGGTTGAAGAAAGGTTGGCATTCTACGAGACTGGTGAAGCTCCTCGCAAAAACAGCGAAGTTATGAAGGAGGCTGCCACTGAGGTGGGTGTGAGGACTGAGGAAGGGAGTGAATTAAAACGCGGGATTTTCTTCTTTAACGGACATTGTTAACTCTGGGTTTTGAGGTCAACTTGCATCTCCCTTGTCCCTTCTAATGATGCCAGTTTTTTTTATTCATATTCTCCTGATCATTGTTTTTTATTGTTGGTTATGAGTTCAGAATGGTACCACTGCACTACTTAACTGTAACCTGAGGCACTGCTGTCAGCTGGATGGGGGCCTATTGGAGATGATGCAAACATTGATAAACTGACAGATACTGTGGAGGAAAAAATATTGATTTAATGAGGCTGATCCATTGGGATCCATCCAGTAAACAATAGCTGAGTGCAGGCTCGACAGTGAATGTGGAATGACTGTAGCAGTTTCTCTTTGCAAATATGAGATAGCTCTGACTTAAGCAACTTCTGTTTCTAGGCAGCTGAAGTGGCAGCAAAGCTGAAGAGAAAGATGGAAAAGAAAGAGAAGAGGCGAAAGAAGAGAGAGAAGAGAAAGCTGGAAGGCCTGGCTGCTGAGCAAGGACAGGAGGATGAGGAGGAGGAGCCAGCTACAAAGAGAGCCAAACTGGAGAGTGAGGTGAGGGAAGAGTCTCTTCAGTCTGAAGGTTTTTTGTGTAACTTCCACATTATGCTAACACTGTCTTTTTGTGTAGGAGAATGGAGATGTAGAAGTGGAGGTGAAGAAAAAGAAGAAGAAGAAGAAAACTGATAATGAGGAACTGATGCTTGACAGTGTGTCAAACGGTGTCCAGGAAACAGTTGTCCCAAAGAAGAAGAGGAAGCAGCTTGTGGCTGAGGAGGTAGAGGAGCCAGTGACTCCTGTGTCAGATAAGAAGAAGAAAAATAAAAAGAACAAATCTGAGTAGGGGATGCTGAAACTACCCTCTTAACCCCGTTGGGAACTGGTTTAAAATTACTTATTTTTATATAAATATTTTATTTTGATTGTTCGGTTTGTGTGCTGCCTATTGTGCATGTAATGAGACCTGTGTCATACCAGGGCCTTGGGGCTGAGTGTGAGGGAGCTCTCATACTCCCTATTCCATCCAGGATTATTCCTGCTGAGTGCTGTTTGAGGCAGTGCCTTCAGTCCAGTTGCTGTGTGGAGGTATTACTTGTGTTCATACAACACAGCTTTACCAGGAACAAAAACAAAGTTGCTGGAAAAGTTCAGCAGGTCTGGCAGCATCTGAAAAGGAGGAAACAGAGTTAACGTTTCGGGTCCGGTGACCCTTCCTCAGAACAGCTTTACCAGGGACTGGGGTTTTCACCACAAATGTCTTGATATGACGGATTCAGTCCTGGCATTATGCTGGTCAATACCAATAGAAAGGATTCACTGGTAGGCCGCAGTCACAGTGGTCTTGCTGGCCTGAAATTAATGTCCTGTGTTGTCCTCTGGTGGAGCAAGGAGTTGGTGAAACTCAGCAGTGTTCAACTTGGAAATTGTATATATGTACAGTTATTAAATTTCTGTCTTGCACACTGGATTCGTCATTAAGATTTGTGCCAGCAGTTACATCAGTCAGCATCTTGTACTGAGGGAGGGGATGTGGGCTCTTAAATTGCTTTTGCTTCAATGTGGTGGAGGGGACACGATGGACTTTATCTGTGCTGTATAGAATGACAAAAGGAACAGGACATCTTGCCCATTTTCTCTGTGCCTTTCACTTCACTGTCTCCACTGCTGACTGGGACATGCTAAAAAGGCTAGCAATCCTCGCGATCATTCCTTCTGTCTTAAATAGGAGGCTCCTTTTATTATAATTCCAGGTAAGACAGGACAAGCTATTTTCCCAAATGAAACTGGGTTTGATTGGTTTATTTGCAGTTAGTTAATGTGATTAGTCACTGAAACATTTACACAAGGTTACATATATTCTTTAACAGAACACAAGTTTATCACCGGAAAGAGCAAGGCTATACAAGACCATGGTTTTTCATGCATGTTAATACAGACAGCAAAACAAATTTTCACCCTCTGATCTTTTACAGTACTCTCTTGACAATTTTACAGTTCTGTTTGAGCTCTGGTGTGAATTTTTCACAATTCTGATGACCTAAACATTTTCAATTCTTGAAAACTTCCAGTCTCTTTAGCTTGGAAGCTGAAAAGCTAAAACTGCTTCAGCTAGGGTGACTAGTTACTCTGAACTGAACTGAACTGAAGAACTTGATTTGCCTGCTGGGAGAAAATTACTCTCCCTTCTGAACTGAAGTCAAAACCTAAACTAATAGCCTCTGGTCTGTTTGCAAATTAAGCAGTAAAATATTCCCATCCATTTAGACCCTCCTAGATATTGTTACCCTGTAGACATTTGACTGAGATCACCATACCAAATTCCCTTTACCTTCATAGAGTTAACTACAATAAATCTACCTCTATATTTTAAAATTTAAATTCCAAATTATTACTTATGTGCCATTTAATATACCTTGTTTTTATAAACACTGTCTCTCTAGTTTGAGATTTCCCTGTTAGCTTAAGATCCTTCACCAGAGTTTAGGCAGTTATGTCTGTACATTTTCCCTTCCAGACTGGCTGTCATTACCCACATTGCTACCCAGCCGTTGCCTTGTGTTTTACCAATGACTTCCCAAATCATGAATCTGTCCTCTTTACGGTTTCAGTTGTGTGAATGAAGAAGTGGACAGATACTGATTGTAAATGGCATTATTTCTGTTCTGTACACTAAATGTTTTCCCCAGTAACAGATTATTGTTTTGATACGGGGTGAATCTGAAAATGTTTTGGGTATAAAACTGTGAAAGAATTATGAAATAATTCATCCAGATCCAATTAAGGTGGAGGGATTTCAACTCTGTTTACAGTTAAGAAGGCTTTCTCCTCCCTGTACTCCAACACATTGTTTGACAATATCTACAAACAGTGACAGTGGTTCCTTGTGCTTTTATTGACATAGTACAGGCTGGTGGGCTGGGCTTGAAGATGTGACTGGCTGCTTATTACCAGCTTTAGGGAGATCCTCTTTGACCAAACCAGCACATGCTTTATGCATTGAGGTTAGCAATGACCGCTGCAGTGAACTCTGCTGAGGTTGAATATCCACCCATATCAGGAGTTCGAATCTAAAGAGGGAAGAAACAAGTGGTTTACAAGTAAAACTGCTTTTGTTGGGCAGGAGGCTTGTGTGCACAGGAATTGGTATACTGAAGTGTTACTGTCTCAACTCTCAATTTCCTGTACCTTTGCAAATTTTGCCTGTTCTCATGATTCAATTCTGTTTGTCATCCACAACACTTGAGGCCCATTTTAATTCTGATCTACACCAGTCTGCATGAATGTTTTCCTGCTTTTGTTATCTTGAGTCAGTGCCCTCTTGTTTTTAGTCCTTTCACCAAAAAGAAATAGTTTCTCCCAACCTGCTCTGTCCAAACTCCTCATGATATGACTGTCAAATCTCTCAACCTTTCTTTAAGGAGAAAATCCCAGTTTCTCCCATCTGTCCATGCAATAGAACAACTCACCTTTTTCTGCATAAGGGAGGTGTACTGGCAGTTTATGAATACAGAACTTTACATTGTACATTATCTAGTCAGAGAATCATATGGTACAGAAGAAACCTATTGAGTCTGTACCAGCAAAAGCTATGTTCAGTATACAATAGTCCCAGCACTGAACCAACAGTCTTGAATGTTATGACATTTCAACTGCATTTTTTTAAAGGTTGATGTTATCTGCCTTTCAAACCCACCCAGGTGGTGCATTCCAGACCCCTGACATCCTCTGGATGTTGGTGGGAGAAGGAGGGGGAGAAACTTTCCTCAACTCCCCTCTAAACCTGCCAGTCACTTTAAAATTATGCCCCCTTGTTACAGACCCTTCAAATAGGGGGAACAGCTGCTTTCTATTCACCTTGTTCATTCCCTTCGTAATCTTTCATCAGTGATACAGACAAGAGTACAATGGGCTTTCTGGTCTAGAGTAGGGATGCAACTACTGGCTCAAGAGTCTCCTAGCTGCTGTGAGGTTCAAAGTAGTTAACAAACTAGAACCAAAAAAGGAGACTTGGTTTTGGCCTCTGGCTTGGTTTCAAATTCATGATTTATACAAAATGTACCTCCTTCAATCTTCTCTGCTCTAAAGAAGACAACCAGAGCTTATCTGAGTGGTTAAAACTGCTCCGTCTCCATTCCTATAGCCTACTGTCAAGAACTGCACACACTAATCCACTAATCACAGCCTCAAAAACACCAAAGTTCATGTGACAAGGTGTAGAGCTGGAAGAACGCAGCATCAGAGGAGCAGGAAAGCCGATGTTTTGGGTCTGGACCCTCAGAAATGATTTCTGAGGAAAGGTCCAGACCTGAAATGTTGGCTTTCCTGCGCCTCTGATGCTGCTTGGCCTGCTGTGTTCATCCAGCTCTACAACTTATCTCCGTATCGGCAGTGCCTTCTATTTCAAAGTTCACGTGATGACGCTTTTATTGAGTGACAGTGGTGCTCCCAAAGCCCAGCTTCTCCAAATCAAAATCCCAGCATCTTCAGGTAAGCTGTCCTGATGATGAAGTGGATAAGGGATCAGTCAGCCCAGTTCCCAAAGAACATGGTCTTGCTCTTGCTTCAATTTATGTCTGCTCCTGTGGCAAGTTAGAATTGGTTGCAGATGCTAGTGACTGTGCACTGACAGCGGATCTGAGCTGAGAATGGCAATGCTATCCATGTACAGGGAGGCTTAGAGACCTATAGATTTCCACTGCCCAGAATAGTCACCCCTCAGGCTCGCATCCTTCCTGATGGACTCAGCAAACAGTTCTATACAACACAAACAAGGCATGAGAGTGGGCAGCCCTGCCCCTTTCTGGATCTAGTCAGGAAACTTCCTCGTTGATTGAGACTGCACTATTGATGCTGCTGTAGAGCGGTCAGATCCAACAATGGATTTGCTCCCTAAAGCCCATTTTGGACAGCATGTCCCACATGTACGTATGTGATATCCTGACAAAGGCTTCATGGGTGAGGCTGCTGAGGGAAGTATCCACCTCCCTGAACTGCATGTAGGTGATTGTATCCCAATGAGTGCCAAGCTCTCAGAGTGTACTGCCCTCCAAAGCACACGTTTGATCAGCATCAATCACCGATCCCACAGCAGAATTTATTGTCCTGGCAGTGACAACAGCAAAAACACAGCAGTTTTCATGGATCCTTTCAGTATTTCAGATCAGTTGAACTCTGGGGAAGGGTCACTAGATCTGAAATGTTTAAGTCTGATTTCTCTCCACAGATGCTGCTAGACCTGCTGAGCTTTGGGCAGCACAATGGCTCAGAGCACCAGGGACCCAGGTTTAATTCCACCCTCGGGCCACTGTGTGGAGTTTGCACCTTCTCCCCATGTCAGCATAGGTTTCTTCCGGGTGCTCTGGTTTCCTCCCACAGTCCAAAGATGCGCAGGTTAGGTGGATTTGGCCGTGCTAAATTGCCCATAGTGTCTGGGGTGTGTAAGTTAGGTGGACTAGCCATGGGAAATGTCGGTTTACAGGGAAAGGGTAGGAGGATGGGATTGGGTGGGATGCTGTTCCGAGGGGCAGTGTGGACTTGTTGGGCTGAATGACCTGTTTCCACACTGAAGGGACTCTGTGAACTGACCTGGTTGGTGATGACCTTAAGACAGGACGAGGGTGATGATGTCTTTCCTCATGGATTCACACGTGCTACCTGCTAGAAGTAGTGTCATACACCTCCAGCAGGTCCTGGCCTACCAAGTCCCACAGTGCTGAATACAACTTGAGAGTTTTATTTTCAAAGGACTTGGGCCTTGGTCAGCTCATCCAGAGATAACGGCTGGTCCAACATCTCCCACGTGCTGTCGTCTAAGACCTCTGTGATAGACAGGAAAGACTGGGAGGTTACACTGTCTGTGGGCTTTGTGTCATACAGTCTGGCATAAAAGGATTTGCTGATCCTCAGACTGAGATGGCATTACCAAGCCATTTTCTTCCTTCAGGCTGCTGAGCAGAGCTCTCCTTGTGCACCTACTGGCACCTTGATGGCCTAGTGGTATTATTGCTGGACTGTTAATCCAGAGACCCAGATAATGTTCTGGGGACCTGGGTTCAAATCCACCATGGCAGATGGTGGAATTTGAATTCAACAAATATCTGGAACGAAGAGTCGAACGATGACCATGAATCCATTGTCAATTGTTGGAAAAACTCATCTGGTTCACTAATGTCCTTTACGGAAGGAAACTGCCATCCTTACTCAGTCTGGCCTACAAGTGACTCCAGACCCACAGCAATGTGGTTGACTCTGGACAATTAGGGATGGGCAATGAATGCTGCCTAGCCAGCGACACCCTCATCCCGTGAATGAATAAAGAAAAAAAACCTTCTGGAAGAAGGAATGTGAGCACGTCTCATCCTGCTCCATAGTATGGACCCTGGAATGGAAGATTATCTTGTTGCTGGGTCTTCACCTTCTGCAGCTCCTCCATGAAACTGACTCCCATAATCTGCAGCAGG